AAGCATAAAAGTGCTGATTCGTCAGGTAGTTTGTAAATATCTGAAATTTGTAAATTAGCATTTAAATAATTTTTTTTAAAAAAAAAAATAGATAATAACAATGATGATAATAATTGCACAAGTGATATAATATCCGGTATTTCTTCAACAATGCAACGCCTACATCAATTAAAAAGCCAAGAAAAAGAGTATCAAATTCTAAAACTATGTCTAATTTCATTATCAAAGATATTAGCATGAAAGACAGACTGAAATTTAAATGATTATTGCTTCGGATAACAATATTAAATGGATGGGCGTTTAATTGGATAACAAATCCAGAGACTAAGAAACTTTTTGAATTCTTGAATCCAGCGCTTACTCTTCCTAGTCGGTATTTATTATCCAATCGTATCCTTGAAGCTAAGAGAACAAATTATATTAAATCACAAGAGCAAACTAAAAGAAGATAAAAATGGAATTATCTTGGTATTTGATAGATGGAAAAAATATTCTAAAACAACATATTTTTGGTTCATTATTTATTTTATCAACTAGAGAGGTTCAGGTTTGGAAAGCAATTGATACTAGTTCAGAGAGAGAGAGAATGATCAATGTTATTCCTAAGATTAAGAATATGATCCAAGATACGTCGAGTTTAGGGGCAAAATTATTAGCAATTGTCTCTGACAGTGCACCAGCATATTTTGTCACAAGGTAATTAGATAAAAAAATAAAAAATAAATAAATTAATAATAAATAAAAAATAATAAATAAAAAATAAAAAATAAATAAATAAAAATTTTAATAAAATATAACAAAATAATAATTTGCAATATTCTCCTAATCATTTCAATAGATATTGACTATGGTTATAATATCCAGAAATAGTGTTTATTCCTTGTTTCACTCATCAGTACAATTTAACTGTAGAAGAAATTTTCAAAGAATCTGCAAAATTTAAACTTGCAATGAAACAATCAATAAAAATAGTTAGCTATTTTAATACTTCACTTCATTTATATTTTATTGAAAAGTTTCAAGATATACAAAAACAAATATATTCAAAATATATTACATTAATTTGTTTAGGTGATACCTATTAGAATTTGTATTGTTATTGTTTTAAGAGCATAATAAAATCCCATCAAGCTTTAAGGGTTAGTATTTATAACGTATTAATATAGACAAGTATTTAACTAAATAACTTACATATCAAAATTTTCAAGAATTTAGCTACTAAGTTTGAATTACCCTTTGAAATATCAACATGTAACTTTAGTGATGAAGAATCAGATTAACCTTTGAATAGTTTAGGTGAACTTTATCTTTCACAGCTAATAACAGCAACTCTACTTAATGACAATTTTTGGCAATCAATAATGCAATTATATTCTTTGCTTCTCCCTTATTGTGGAGCTCTTAACAAATTATAGTCAGATACTGCATGTCTTTATGATATATTACAAGCTTTTGGTAAAATATTAAGAATGTGAGAGGAGTATTCAGATTATGATTTAGCCCAATGTATGATCTTGCAGTTAAAACAAAGATGGAGACAATAGGAACAGCTATTATTATTATTATCTTTTCTTTTATATCCAAATATTTATATTACATAGTTTAATAATAATAATGAAAACTTAAACTTTATATATCTAGCTCAATTCGTTACTTATTATTACAAAGCGTGGTTTGGATGCCAACCAACTCGTATCTTACTTGAACTAGAAGAATATAGAAAATGTAAATATCCCTTTGACTTTGCAACATATGAACAATTTGGAAATAATGTACTGAAATTTTGGAAATTTGCTTCTCTTTCAACTAGAGAATTAGGACTATTGGCTATATACTTATTCAGAATATGTGTTAATACAGCATTTGTAAAACGACTGTGAAGTTCAATGGGATTTTTTCATACTAACCGCCATTGCTATCTTAATGTAAGATTTTTTCTTAGTTCTTTGTTTTAAAATTAGCTTACATTTTTTTTTTAAAAAAAAAAATTAAATGAAAAAGTATTGGCTATAAGTCAAATTTATGCTTCAATTAACTTTTCTCAAGTAAAAAAATAAATTCATACCTGTGATACTATGTTCAACCAACCCAGTGCATTACCTATTGGTAAAACTACAAATAAATCTACAGATAGGCAAATTGAATTAGATATAGATACAGATGAAGACACCAAATTGTATAATAAGTTATCAAGTGTTGAAGATTGGGAAAATCAACTACATAACTAGAAGAAAATGCTAATAAACGAGGAGATTGCTAGACTAGAGGAAGAAGAAAAAGAGCGAGATAGTTATCAAAATAATATGGAAGGTGATTTGTTAAGTAATTATAGGCATCTAGCAGTAGATGATAAAGTGAAATGGGAATTATGTGATATATTCAGTGCACAATTTCAAAAACTAGATTATATAATTAATAATAGATAAGTTTTTTGTTTTTGAATGCCTTCTGCTTTTTTTTGTGTACTTTTATCTTTTCATGTATAATCATATTGATATTTATACCAATTATTCTATTGTTCTGGCAGCAACACTTAAAGCCTCTTTCATATCTAAATTTAACAAATATCCGCAAGCTATGTCAAAATAAATCTTGAAACTTTACCTCTTATAATTATATGAATTATACAGTTATTTTAAAATTAAGCAAAAAAAAAAAGAAAAAAAAATCTCTGAATTTATATAATGCATTCTGGTTCAGATCTTGGAAAAAACTATGCTAGTAGTAACTGCGACATATAAGTTGTAACAGATTAACAATATTATTATAAAAATAAAAGAACACTAAAAATTATAAATTTATTATTAATTGTTTACCAATTAGTTATTCTTTTTTGGTTACACTGATTTGATCAATCTGAGTTTTTGTATATTACAATATTACTACTAGCGAAAAGCTTTTATAATATATATTAAAATCACATGAAATATGTACGTTTTATTGGTTAAAATTATTTGCATTTTTATTGGCTAATCTTATACTGGTTCTAGTCGAAAAATTCTTCTAGTAGAAAATCTCACTAGAATCACTGGAAGGCTAAAAGATTCTGGACTTCTTGTGGGATTCCAGAATTCTAGTGGCAATACTAATATAGAGCATGAAAAGAAAAAATTTTTCGCTCTAACTACATCAGCAAATTTAATAGAGCGTAATATTGTGCAATAATTTACAAAGCGTAAGAACACTGTAATATTACGTAATAACTTTCGCAATATTGCGAAATATAAAATTACAAAATATTACGTAAGATTATTACACAATATTACACTAGAAATAACGCAATATTATGTAAAATAATTCGAAATAATGCGAAACAGACTGAGATAATTAACTATGAACAATGAGTGTAAAATAATTCGAAATAATTCGAATTATAATAAAAGTGATTGATATAAA